GTTCTGAGAAGGCATCCTCTCTCAAAATATCCACCTCACCCATCTGCCACATACCTGAAGCTCCACTATTAACATGTGATTGCTAGGACTTGGGAGTATTTTTCATCTTTTCCCTTCTGTTTTTCTTCCTGAGGGTGTGTGTGTGTGTGTGTGTGTGTGTGTGTGTGTGTGTGTGTGTGTATGAGTGTGAGTGTGAGTGTGTTGGGGAGGGAGGTTTTTCAATTATACATTCTACCCCACTAGTAAAAATTGACAGTTGTCTTTCAGAAGAGCTACATGGTGAGATGCATGTGTTTGCCCATATATCCTGGGACACAGGTAAACACATATAACTTACCATGGGGATAGTGGAGGAAGAACAACTTCTCCCACCCCATCATCATCATCATCATCTCTCTCTCTCTCTCTCTCTCTCTCTCTCTCACACACACACACACACACACACACACACATGCACGCACGCACACACATACACACACACACACACACTTCATTCTTTGGGACCATTCCAGAAGAAAGGCAGGAGAAAAAAAAGATGAAAAATATCCCTAATACCTTAATTAAAACTCCTTTTATAAACCTGTGAAAAGAGATAGCTCCTCCAACTAGAGTCCATTCTGCCAAGACTTAAAGCCAACATATTCATCTCCAAGGCAATCCCTATCAGCAAAGCCATCCTCTAGGAGATGCAAAGAATTGCCATTTCTTCTTAGCAGCAGCCTCAGATACTGACTTTAATCAGATATCCCTAGACTTGTCAACTGAGTTCTCTGGGTTATGCTAACCTCTAAAGAGACATCACCATCACCATCACCATCATCATCATCATCATCATCATCCTTAGCATTTATAAAGTACCTCAAGTTTTACGAAGCATTTACATATGTTATCCCAAAAGTATCCTCCCAATTAAGTCCCAAATAAAGAATTTCCACTCTGCAGGCTCACTAAATTAATTGCAAGAACTCTCCTGATTAACTTCCCACAATGGTATTATATTCTAATTCTTTAAAAACTGGTAAACTGGGCCAAGTATATTCGGCAATTCTGTGTTAACCAGAATGCACCATGCATAATAAGCCATAAAATCGTACACCAGAGCCACACTGTAGTCATGATATCTGTTCCTGAGGGCTGGGCTTTAATGAACTATGATCTACTTATTCATATTTCTGAGAACCACCTTTATTCTTCTGATACTTAGCATATTCTTTTGAATAAACAATCACTGAATAGTATGTCTTCTGTTGTTTAATAAGGAGACTTTTACTGCATCTTGCTCCATCGAAGACCTTTCCATTGTTCTAAAATTAATCCCCCCAGACTGAGATGAAAGACCAAAGGGACTTCCTTGTTCATAAGACAGATCAAGAGATGTTCAAATTAAAGGGAAAGGATTATTTTGAAAATAGCTTTGACTGTCTAAAACACTTATTGCTTTATCCATAATTGTATTTGCTTTTTATTCTTCCACTAAAGTCATCTGATGCTCATCACAATCCTGGTTATCACAATCCTGGGTTATTGAAGGATAACCCTTCATGACAGGTTCACCTATCATGGTTTAGTAATAGACTACATGGCCCTTGAGTCCAACCCCTTCACCTTACAAATGAGGAAACTGAGGCATAGAGCATAGGATCATGTCAGTGTGTGAGGTGAGATTTAAACCTGGTCTTCTTGATGGCATGCACAGTGCTCTACTTACTATTACATTTTGCCTTAAGTTCTTCTATGGGAGATTTGTGGAAAGATATGGACAAAAATCATATCAGATGAGAAAGCATAGAAGAATTGTGGGTCTGGAGGAGTGCAAAAAATACTCAGGTCCATCTAAGTGTGTTTTCTATTGATAAATCAAATAATAGCACTTAGCTTTTATTTTTGTTTCCTTTGAAGTGGGGAAATCAAAAGGGGCTAATGGTGTTCTTAACTCAGATCTGAAAATCTATCTATGTTCTTCAAAAATGACAGAAATCTTTGAAAATTTTCTTGCCATTTTTTAGAAATTAGTCTAAGAAGGAAATCTGACTTGGCTAGAATTTTCATCAGTTTACTACATTTCAAGGATTAGGAATGAATCTGTGGTTTCATCAGTATGAAAAATTTTCAGCTGAGGAAATTCCTTTTACCAGAATAGGTTAGCACCACCTTTAGAGTCTTAAAGAGTAATGTAGGGACTTCAATGGTCAAGTGACCTGTAGAGGGTAACATAGACAGTGTATATTGGAAGCAGAACTTGCACCCAGGTCTTCCTGGCTCCAAGGCCAGCTCACTAAGCACTCTACCATGTTGCCTCTCTACTTCACTGCAAACACAGTAAAACCTAACTCTGGTCAGTAAAAAACAAACAAGACAGACAAACAAAAATCTCTATGTCTCAAATTTAGAGGAATCAAAGTGGATTTAAAAATAAATTGAAATAAAAGAAATTTACATGATAACTTTATTATATATTTAAAATGAATAGCAAGTTGTACATAATAAATTTGCAGTTTTATGTACAATCATCTTTTTTATTACATTTATATATACAATATATTTATATTATACACAGCATATATTATATGTTACGGAAATGCTCATTTTATTCCACAAATTAAAAATAAAACAAATTAAATTTTTTTTACAAGACTGAATTTATAGTGATAAATATGTAATGGTACCTTAACTGGACTATGTGAACATAATTGTATACATAGTATCCACTACTATTGATTTATGAGGAGTTGGGAATGGTAGGTTGAATAAGGCATACAAAAATATTGACTGAGGAAATCATAACTAAGATTCAATGTATAAGATGGTAAAACAAACTGCATCTTCATTAGATTGTGAGGTCTTTGAGGGCAAGAACTATCTTTGCTTCTCTTTTTTTTTTTTTGCTTTTGGTGGGGCAATTGGGGTTAAGTGACTTGCCCAGCTAGTGTGTGAGCTAGTGTCTGAGGTCAGATTTGAAGTCAGGTCCTCCTGACTCCATGGCTGGAGCTCTAACCACTGCACCACCTACCTGTCCCATCTTTGCTTTTTTTTGTATCCCCAGGGCTTAGCACAGTGCCTGGTACATAGTGGCACCTAATAAATGTTTATTGATTGGTTATTAATATTACAAAATGCATGGTAGATTTCATGGAAGACTTTGAAATTCATTCACACATTTACTGAAGACTTGAGCAAGTCACTTAACCTCTCTCTGAGCCTCAGTTTCCTCCTTGTAAGATGAGGGAGTTGGACTAAATGGCCTCTAAGGACCTCTCTAGCTCTCAATCTATGATGCTATGACTTTGTCATTTATTCAACACAGTATTAATTCAGTACCTATTGTATGCATATCACTGCGCTGAAGTCCAAGGAAAAGCTGGGGTCTATTACTTAAGTATTGCCTTTAATTTAACATCACATTCTCATCATTCCAGTCCTTGTCTGTCTCCCTTCCCTTACTCCTACTTGTAAGGCCATCCCATGGATGTGGCTACCCTAGGTTCAAAGTGCTGAGTCTGCATTCACAAAATGATGGCTCATGAGCCCCTGAGGATTTGTTTATTTTTCAGTGGTCATCCATAAGGGACAATTGATGCAAAGAGATTTCCTAGAATAGCATAGTAAAAAAACATTTACAACAAAATATTACCCTTCTATGACAAATTTAGGACACACTCTCCCACAAACATACATGCCACCAATGAGAAAAGTGAGCAAGGACAGAGATCGCCTCCTAGAATCCCACTCATGAGAAACAGGCATAGATGGGCAACACACATCTACAGTGCTACAGGGGCTTTCATACCTCTTTGATTTTCCATCATTGGTCATTAAGAGGTACAATGTCTTGGGAAAGTGCCTTGTTCTGCCAAGCTCCCTGGACCAGCTGTCTGCTAAATGGGCAATTCAATTGTTTTCTGATGCTTCCAAAAGAGAACGCTCGAAGTCTAACACTCTAACAAATTGCCAATGGATCACTAAAGACTACACTCTATAATTTTATCAAGTAAAATGGGGGACTTAATTGATGGATTCCTGGTCAGCCTCCATGCTACGCCTTCCTCCCAGTTTAATTTGTTCCCTAGCGGTACTTTGACACAGGTTCATATTGCCAATTTTAGATAGCTCTCTTGTGATGTGGGCATTATATTGTTTACAGTTCCTTCTCACTTTCAAGTCCTAAAAGATAAATCCTTGTGGCACAATTTGTAGACAGTGTAAATATTAACAATTTTTTTTTCTAATAAGGATTTAAACCTATCATGGCCAATGGATCTAAAGATTACAGTTAAGCCTAAATATGTAGTTGTCAAATTTAATATCCTATCAAAGAAAGTCTTTGGGCAGGTCTTTCCACCTTGGATGTGTGTATTTGAGTGTGTTCACATGTATGCAGAACAAGCATAGGTACTTAATAGTCATTATAGATCTTAGAGAGCAGCTTGATGGCTTAGTGGATAGGGTGCTAGCCCTGGAATTAGGAAAACTCCTCTTCCTGAGTTCGAATCCAGCCTCAGACACTTACTAGCTGTGTGACCCAGGGCAAGTCACTTAATCCTGTTTGCCTCAGTTTCTTCATCTGTGAAATGAGTTAGAGAAGGAAATGGGAAACCACTCCAGCATCTTTGCTAAGAAAACCCCAAATGGAGTTGTGAAGAGTGAGACAAGATTGAAAACAAACGAACAAGTCATAGGCGAAAATCAACAGCAATGATAGTGGTCACTTTGGTAGGAATTTAGAGTTCAAAGGTCTGGGTTCACATCTTAGCTCTCTGACCTCTCAGGCAAATCCTTTCCTCTGACTGTTTTTCTTGACTAGATGAAGCTAAAATCTTTTCTAGAGCTAAATCCTATGAATAATCTTAAGAACATCACAGGGTTTCTTTTTTTTGTTCAATAAACCAATCAGTTAAGCCATTTAAACACCCACCCATTATCCACAGAAAATTAAACTTGTAGCTGGAACTAAGGACTTTGGGAATTGTATGAGGCCAGAGAGCAGTTTGTTTTCAACTTACCTCCTGCACATATGCTTGAAGGCTCAGCTGCTAAAATTTCAATGCATGACTTCTTCAAAATCTAGGGAAAGAAATGGAATTAAATATCTATGAGACCTCCATGTATAGCATTAAGACAAGTTGAGTCAAATATAATTTTCATCTACCAAAAGAGAAAGTGTAAGGAGGCATTAAAAAGGACTGAACTAACATACAAATTCAAGTAGGGAGTATTTCAGATACTAATCAACATCAAAATCAACAATTCTTTTTTGAGGGCTTAGACACTGTATGACTATAGGATGCTAGGTGCTAAGTATATGGAAGTACAATAAATCTCTTGTCCTTAAGGAATAAGGGATAGCATTTGTTGCTTGACAAAGTTGAGAGAGATCACAAGAACAATAGGAATTCCAAGGAGGGTTAAGGAAGTCAGGGTCTCCATTGGTAGAAGGCATGAGTACTAAGATGTAATAGGATAGAATGGAAACCAGCCTAGACTTGGAGTCAAGAAACCTGGGCTCAAATCCTGGCTCCCTCACTGAATAACTCTATGACTCTTATAAAGCCACTGAATCTTTCTGAGCATCAGTTTACCCATCTATGAAATGAAGGTGATGATAATATTTGTAGTATGACTTCAAACAAAATTGATGAAGTTTCAGCCAAGTTGATTCCTTTGATGAAAAAAAGAAAACAAGGTAAAAAAGTGCAGTAAAAATGAAAACAAGCATCAGATGAAGCAATGATTCAATAAAACCAAATAGAAAACACAGAGAAGCAACTCCAGCCAATTCAGAACAATACAAGAAGAGAGACAGAAGCCTGTGGGCATTCTGAATGTTCAGAGGCTACACCAAGGGAAATTGAAGCTAGTGAGACCTGCAAACAGGGCCTGAAGAAAAGGAGTTCCCAAGTCCCAACTTGGAGGAACAATAGAAGGGAAAAAGCCATCTCCCCATAGATGATGGAGATAGGACAGAGGTGCCTGGGAAGTGTTCACCACAGGAGCCCTTCAGGAGGCCAGAGGTCAGTGCAGTCTCTGATTTCTGGTCAGGACCTAGCAAGGGCACATTGTTGTTCAGTCACTTTTATCATGTCTGACTCTACATGATCCTACTCGGGTTTTCTTGGTGAAGATACTGGAGTGGTTTGCCATTTCCTTCTCCAGAGCCATACCAAGGGACTAAGGTAACTCTCATTAAACAACTGTAAAAGAAGGAGGAAGGAGGCCAGTATACATACAAGGCCACCAGAATTATAGATGTAGAGCTGAAAGAGATCTCATAGGCCATATAATCTAACCTCTCTCATTTTACAAATGAAGAAACTGAGGCCCAGGAAATAAAGGTGACTTGACCAAGTTAACACAGATCTTAAGCATGAAAGACAGGATTTGAACACAGATCTACTCGCTCCAGAGTCAGTGCTCTTTCTGCTACACAAAAATAGAAGCTAACAACAAAGGAAGAAGGTAGGGCCTAGTCCCAGTTCTCAGCCTGGTCCCTATTCTAGGACAGAACTGAAGAAGAAGATAGGAAGGGAGACCAGGACCCTGACACCTTATCCAGAACATCAGCAGGGCTTTGGCTATAGCCACCAGATGTAATCCAGATTGCAGCAGGGACAGGTCCTAGGCCTGGTCACAACATTCAGAAGTATGAGTGAGGGCAGAGCTAGGCCCTGGCAAAAAGTCTCATCCATAAATGAAGGTTGGAGACATAATTAAAAAGAAGAAAACTCCTAATACAATGAAGAAATTACATAGGCTAATTAAAACCCAAGGAACTATAGTCAGAAACACCCAAGACTATTCTGCATTTATAATAAAGGAAAGGAAATATTTGAAAATGCTATACCAAAAGGCAAAAGAAAAAAAAAGGTTTGAAACCATGAATAACAGCTTGCAAAACTTAATGTGATATTACAGGGGAAAAAATGAACCTTTAAAAGAACAGAAGACTTTCAAGTGTTCCTGATGAAAATACAAGAGCCAGATAGAATCTTTAAAACACAGAAAAAGTGAGAAAAAAGAAACCTAGAAAGGAAAATACATTTGAACAACTAGAAGAGGTTGTTGATGAATAGACAGCTAGGCAGCTCAGTGCTAAACTTGGAGTCAGGAAGATCTGAGTTCAGATCCTGCTAGCTGCATCACCCTTGGCAAGTCATTTAATATCTGTCTGCCTCAGTTTCCTCATCTCTTAAATGAGGTTAATAATAGCATCTTCCTCCCGGTCTTGTGGTAAGGATACTATTACCATTACTGGTACTTTGAATTAGTTCACATGAGTCTTCTCAGGTTTTTCTGAAACCGTACTGATCAATATTTCTTATAACAAAATAGTATTCCATCATAATCATATGTGGATAAGGGAAGAAAGGGGCTGGAAAACAATCTATTATATTTCAGCTAAGGTAAAAAAAAAGAAGCAGGGGTAACAATCATGATCTCTGACAAAGCAAAAGCAAAAATAGAAGTAAAAATAGAGCAAAGCAGGAAAGCTACATTTTGTTAAAAGGTACCATGGACAATTAAATAGTATTAGTACTAAATATATATGTACCAAATGGCATAACATCCAAATTCCTAGAGGAAAAGTTAAATGAGTAACAGGAAGAAATAGACAGTAAAACTATACTACTGGGGGGGGGGGCTCAATTGTAATTTAGAGCATTTTTTTTCACATGACTATAGATAACTTTGATTTCCTCATTAGAAAACTGCCTGTTCATATGCTTTGACCATTTATCAGAGGGCAATGATTTGTATTCTTATAAATTTGACTCAGTTCTCTATAAATTTGAAAAATCAGGCTTTTATCAGAGAAACTTCCTGTAAAAAAATTTTCCACAGTTTCTTGTTTTCCTTCTAATCTTGGCTACATTGATTTTGTTTGTGAAGAAATCAAGGGGCATAATACTGCCTGGTTTCATCAAATTTTCCAGTTTATACACGTACATTTTGTGAAGGTCAGGAGACGTGAAGATACTGAACTGTGTCACAGTAGAGTAAGTTTAGAACTAGCATTCAATTTGCCTAATCAGAGTGGAAGGAATATAGAACATTTCCCCTCCAAAGTTTATTGTTAAGTGAGTCTGTAAGGTCCTTCACTAATTGATCATCTAAATTAAGCCTTGACTTAGTCTTTGGAGTTTCTGATAGTAGAACTCTAATCCTAAAGGCTTGAAACCTTTGATATCTTCCACCTGGCCAGAGTTTTCAATGGTCTGTCAGGTCTTAGGGACTAAATTCCCAAAGTCCTCCAGTAGAAGGCTCTCTTCCATCATCAATGGCAGTACTAATTAAATGATGCTGCTAAATGAGAACTCATCAGGCTAACTTTCACTTTGTTAGTGATTAGAGAATTTGTGGGAGTGGAGTTTGAGGCACAATTTGATCTGAATAAGAAACTGAGTAGCTCCTCCAACCATTAAAAAAAGCCTTTTTGGTTATCAGAACCAAGTGGTTGGAAGTTGGGAACCATATTATTGTAGCTGAATCCAGTCTCACTGCCCTGCTAGGGACTAGCTGAGCTTAGAGGTGAAAGGCACAGTATTATTGAACCATTTTTCAGTCATGACCCCATTTGGGATTTTCTTGGCAAAGATATTGGAGAAGTTTGCCATTTCCTTCTCTATTTCATTTTACAGATGAGGAAACTGAGGCAAACAGGGTTAAGTGACTTGCCCAAGGTCAGGCAAAGTAGTATGATGGAAAGAAAACTAGATTTGGAGTCAGAGGACTTGAGCTTGAATCTCTTTTTCACTTCCTATCTTTCAGGCTTTGGGTAAATCATAGAATCGCTCTGGTCCTCAGTTTCCCCATTTGTAAAATGAGAAAAGATTGGGCTACAGGATCTTTAATGTCTCTTCCCACTCACAATCTATGTCCTATTATCAATCTATGTTCCTATCCCAATTAGAAGGTGTTCCACACTGCAGTGCCTTGGGGAAAAAAATCTCATGCCTTCCACTGGGGCCTGTCCAGTCAAGGAGTAGGTACAAGTAGTAGGAACTGAGCAAAACAAGTTCCAAAGGTGAGAACTCGAAGGAGTGGAGGAAGTCTCATAGAAATGCTTAGACTCAATGTGGCAAAATGCTTTCTAACAATTAAAACTTTCTGCAAGTGGAATAGGTTATCTAGTATTAGAGTATTATGATAATACTTCATAATAATATAAAAATAAAGTATTCCCCTTAAAGTGGAGTCTGGATCCCACTTTTCATAGATTTTGTAGAAGGGGTTCCTATTGAGGCATAGATTTCATTAGAAGGTCTTTTATAATTCCAAGATTCTAAAATGCCATCATCAGTTCTGGGGGAAAGTAGGAAAAGGACTCATATGTACAAAAATATTTGGGGCAGTTCTTTTTACGGAGGCAAAGAATTGAAAATTGAGGGGGTGCCCACCAACTGAGGAATGGCTGAACAAGTTGTGGTATATGAATGTTATAGAATACTATTGTGCTATAAAAAATGATGAAAGAGCTAGTTTCAAAAAAATCTGGGAAGACTTATATGAACTGATGCAAGACAAAATGAACAGTGCCAAGAGATGAATGTATATAATAGCAGTAATACTGTAAAGACCATCAACTGTGGAGGACTTATTAACTCATCAGCACGATGATCCACCATGATTCCAAAGGACTCATGAAGAAAAAATCTATCCACCTCCAGAGAGAGAACTGATGAGCTTGGGAATACAGATTGAAGCATATTTTTTCTCTTTCTCTTTCCTTTTTTTCTTCAGAACATGGCTAAATGCAGAAATATATTTTGTGTGACTTCATATGTTTAATAAGTATTGTATTTCTTGTTTTCTCAATGGATGGAGGAGGAGGTAGAGGGAGGGAGAAAATCTGGAACTAAAAATAAAAATTAAATTAAAAATTAAAAAATAAAGTATTATATTTAAAAGCAAAGGAAAGTAGGAATGGGGATTGGAAAGATTGAGTACAAGACTTTCTCACAAGAAAGATCCTAGAAACATTCCCAGGGAACTGAAGCCAAGGGGGTCAGACATAGAGACAACATAGAGAAAGCAGGCAGGGAGCAGTCAAAAGTGGTCAGCAGGAC